TCTTGAGTAATGAATCTCGTTTGTTCTTCCGGGGAATCCGCTATCATCAGCCACCAAATAGTGCACCAAATCAAGCAAAGTGCGCCTTCAATATAAAAGATGGATTCCCAACCGAGATTTACAGCCAACAAGCCGGTTAGTAGAATGGAAATTACAGTGCCGAGTGCCGTTCCTAAAAATTCCTCAAAATTTAATTTTTTCGAAGAAAATTTTACGACGCGTTCGAAAAACTCCAGATATCAAATATATCTATATTATCATGATTTTTACTAGAATCTTATCAAGAAAGAAACTCAATTTTACAATTTTCGCGTTATAATTACAGACCACGAGAAGAATCGTAGAATCATGATGAAAGATTTTGGTATATATTGCTAAAACTTCGCCAGAAGAGAAAGATGTCTTCTATAATTTTTTTCCTACCTGCATACACGATCGAGGCAATGACGTTTCTTTCATGTGGCGGCGCCCACTTGGCGATCATCACGTGCATGGCGGGGAATGATACACCCTGTAATTCAAGCGCTCGAAGTTATAATCATATTGGAATATCAAGTCTGTTAACATAACATAAATCGTTACTGACACCACCGATTCCCTGAAGAAATCTCATAGCTATGAAGAGCCAGTAATGCATACGAGCAGCGATAGGCGTCAATATGGATGCAATGAGATTCAACAGAACCGATCCATTCATCAGCCACTTAGCTGACCAGAGTTCTGCTAATCTTCCACCCGGCAACATAGACACTATGTAGCCCCAGAAATAGGAAGATAGAATGAGACCTTGAATAAATTCGTTCCATACGAATGGACCATCCTAAAAAGATGCGTAATAGTTGGCAAAATATTCTTTTTTTACTTTCTTTTTTTTTTATTAAAATGCTGAAGTCTTTTTGCTAAAGCTATGGTATAAGGATTGCTTGTGAATCTTTTTCTTACAGTAAGATCATCACCTCATTTTTGATCGTCGTGACATCTGAGATATCATCGAATGGGCAAATGTTCGTTAGCGTGATATTATTAGTTTCTGAATTGTTTGACGTAGATAATTTGATGTGTGATTTAATAGCTGTATGATTCACCATAGCGACGATAGCCACGCTGGCGTTGACTTTAAAGCCATAAAGAATAGCGAGGCCGATCGATCCCATTACGGCCATCAGGTATCGAAACGGACATATCGTTTTGTTTTCTCCTACAGTTAGAAATAAATATTATAATCAGATGCTTTTTTTAGTATAAAATTAATGAAAGAGAATTATCTTTACATATCTTAATTCTTTAGTGTTATACAAATATTTTATTAAATTTCAAATTTTAAATTTCTATCTTAATTTTTTATGAAAGTTAAAATAGTATTTGATTTATTTAATTTAATTTATCTTTTATCATCCGATTTACCGCGACGTGAAATGATGTATGCTGATTGTCAGCACTCAATATTTATATTCGTGAATCGTATTCGAATTCTTATTTTTTCACAAATATGCGAGGAGTTGCACATAGCATTTGTCATTTATCTAACAAGTCCTAAATGATTTTTCTTTTGAAATGTCATGACAAAATTATGATTATACTTGCACACTCGGTTACTTAACTAATATATTTTTAAATGCACGAGAATTGTTTTTACAGTGAAGGAATGAAAACAAGTTTTGTAAATTGAAACAATTTCCTATTCGCGGGCGAAATGTTCTTCGATTTTAAGAATTTTCCGCGTCTGACTTGACGCGGAAATTGATTTTGTATGTTCAAAGGCGTATCCAAGAGATTATTTTAAGAACGAGAATTTGCAGCGTGCCGACATGCGTGCCATCACTTTGAACAACACAATGTCATCCTGATGCAATTCTTAGTTTCTATGACGCTCTCGCAGTCTTCTATCCACACGCGGAATTAAATTTATATATTATTTGATTTTAATTGTATCTCGCAAATTTTTGCAATTCCGGGATGAAAATTTGTATATTGCACACATGTTGAATGCATGTGATAAGTACTTATCAGCACTTTCACAGCGTTGCGTCCGGTTGCGTCGTAATGCATTGACACATGTTGCACATTAGCTGGAAATCAATTTTCAATCAAAATTCTATGCGTCTCGCGAAAATCGATCTGAAATAGAGGACGCGTCAAGGTCATGGAAGGTGCCTCAACCTAGAGCTATCTTGAGTATTTTTTGAACAATTAAATCAAATGATGCAATTTTTATACATACGTAATTAGAGTTTAAGAAATCTAATTTAAGAAATTGTGATTGAAAGTTTTTTAGTAATTAAAAGCTTTTTAACAAAAATTAATAATATATATAAAATATCTTTGTCTTTTCTGAATGATTTTTTTTTTATTACTTTATTAATTTTTTCCTCCTAATATTTTATCATTCTAAAGTACATTTGTAGGATTAGAAAAATCCTGATCTTTCTAAGAGCCAAAAGAATCATTGCTTACCAGCAGTATTTTCTATGGCCATCGTATTAAGGAACGTATCTTTCACAATACCCAGAGGAATCCAACGAAGATGTATCGCAAAGTAATTAATCACATTTCTCCAATATTCTCTCTGTACTTCTATTCAATTTTATATCGTCGCAGAGTTTTCTTCTTCTCGAGTGGACTTATTCTGGTGTCTACCGGATCGCTTCCGGCTCGTTACGAGAGTAGCGTGCCACTGATGTAAAGCGACACAGTAAAACTGAGAAATTCTCGGAGCGACTCCGATCCGGTCTCCGGAGGGATGCGGAGCGTGCGCCTCTTCTATAAACGCCCGCCGCACGTACGCTTGTACGTGAGTGCGTGAGTGCGTGAGAAGGAAGGATCACACGAAATAGAGGCCGATGCCTCGTACTCTCATCTCAGTCATTGACTTTGGCGGCCGGCGTGCAGATAAAGGGCAAAGGGTGAGCGGTTGTATCACCTGCCTCTGCATTTCGCAACTAATGTCTATTTCTACCAATGTATAGATTAACTTTAATTTAATACTTACTTTAAGTATTAACTTATTTTTGATCTTTTTCTACACACAGAAAGATACTGTGCGCAAATAATAATTACTTTGTTTCAAGTATTTTAAAAGTTCATATATATTTACAAATCTTGTATCGTAAATTCGTCAAAAATATCAAATTCGTTCAAAATGTATATTCTGAATCCTAATAAGTTTAATATATTCTTCAATCAAGATCAATAAGTTAAAACATGATAATGAGTTTTTCTAAAATTTATAATAAGTACATATATTTTAAGATTATTATTATAAAAAATATTCTTTGTTAAAAATAACTGTTACTTAAAAAAATGAATTGAATAATCACTTTTCTTAGCAATAAAACGATATTTTCTGTGTAGTTGTTAAAGTTAGAAAAAGATAAACAGTAAATTAAAGTGAATCTACATTGAAATGGGCTTAAGTGAAAAAGTGTTGATTAATAATCATTGCCTTTATCAATCAACAACTATAAAGCTCAGATCATTACAACACATTTGCAACGTTTCTATAATATTGAAGTAATATTGCAATGTTGCAAATTTCTGTGCTGTACGTGAAATGATAAAATAATTAATATTAAAACAATTAAGACAAATGAATCATTTAAAAGTATGATACAATAACGATAATTATTATTATTAGAGAGAAGTTTCATGAATGAAAATTCTTTCGAAACTCGAGATTTCTATTTTGATTTTTGATATTTCGTTGGATTCTCTTTGGCCCACCGTGTACTTGTTTTTAGGATCGCTCATATTCTCCATACCGAGCGTAAAATTTGTTTATTTGAGCGAATCTGAAGCTAGTCTCGAGCGAACATCGAACATGTAAGATGAAAAAAATGTCGACCGCGTTTACAAATTTTTAATATACGTAACAGAGACTTTCTTTCTCTCTCCTTCTTCTTCTCATATTCTTTCGTTATCCCCACGTGAGCTCATGATCTCGTTAGTGTGTGGGTCGCCAAAAGCGTCGCAGTGAACATGAGCGCAAACTCGGAAGCCGGTGATCATCTCGATGAGATCTACGACTGGATCGATCAAATTAAGTTTTCCAGGCCCAAAAGAAACATAGCCAGAGATTTTTCCGATGGAGGTAACGAAAAAAACATGATCTCTATATAATTTCATATAAATCCGTTTGTTAATTCCTCTCTCGCGAAAGGTTGATGGTCTTCCAAGATTGGATTTACTTTTTTATAGCTGAATACACTCTTTGTATTTAAAGTGAAATAGATATATGTTCGATATTTGGCAAAAGCGAGAAATTTTAATGCAGTCTAGCAGTAATAAAAAAAACCTATTTTCTTCAGGAATAACATTACAGAAAATTTAATCGCTATGTTTAAACTTCAGTGTTGATGGCGGAGTTGTTGAAACGCTATTATCCTAAGTACGTAGACGTGCATAATTATGTCGCTGGCAACAGCATTGCGAAGAAGACTGACAATTGGAGCACACTGAATCGCAAAGTGCTGTCGAAAATTGACATGAGGCTGGGGAAGGAGATGATTAATCAGCTAGCGAGTTCCCAACCAGGCATCATCGAGAAAGTCCTCACTGATCTGCGAATCAAGATCTTGAAGGATTCAGAAAGAGACAGAGAATTATACTTTGACGAAGACAGTAAAGGTAGCTATTTAACAAATTATCTTTAGATTCTCCTTTCCTCGAATCATTTTTAATTTTTACAGATAATATAGAGGCAATAAAGTCGGTGCTAAATCCTGACGAGTTAGCGAACAAGACAGTCCCTCGGCACATTTTCACTCGCTTGAAGCAGGAGCTGCAGGAGAAAAACGACACTATCTCTACATTGCAGCAGAAGATCTCGCATCTGGAAAGTATAATGAAGCTGAAGGATCAACGAATCGACGACCTTACATTGCAGATTACAAGGCTGCCCGTTGAACGAAATGTTGCTATGCCTCATCCTCACGGCAATGGAATCTCGAAACGCGTTTCCAAGTTGTCATAATAAAACTTATCGAGAAATGTGTCACATGCTCTCCGATTGTAGCTTTTATATAACACAGCTTAGCTTGTTTTTTTTTTGACATATGTATAAAAGAATACACTTTTTATTATTATCTAGTTGGGCCATTCATGTAATCTTACAATATTATACAAAAATGAAATTATAATATATTATACTATGTATAGTATAACTGAATTAAATAGAGCAATCATGAAATCTTTTTTGATCTTTCAGGTGCCCAGCTTGGGTTCTATAAATCTTTTGGACATTTTAACAAAATCCCATAGAATTATGCAGAAAATATTGATAGCTTCACACACGAAATGTTTCATCAAATGTCACGCTGATTTTATGTGGGTGGAGATACTAGGATGACACCGTCGCCGCGTACAAATAGCATCTGGATAGTTCTCTTTTTCTGGCGATAAATCTCTTCGTATGTTTCCTCATCGATCTCCACTATGTTTATGATCTCTTCTACATCACCCAGCACCATGTTCAAGTGTTGGTCAAAGGCCTGAAATTACATTGACATATAAGAATCATTTTACAAACAATAGAAACAAAGACTTATTATCCTTTTTTAGATGTATTTTTCTTTTGTTCTCATATATATATATATATATATATATATATATATATTTCGAATCATGCAATAGTTTCAATTACTAATAAGTAAAAAGAAATAGAAAGTTCCTTACATGTAGCTTTCCTCGGAGTTCTCTCTCGTTTCTCATCTTTACATAAATCCTCTCCTCCAAGCTTAGCTTTATAAGATCCAATGGTTCCTTCACATCTATTGGTGGCAACTGTTTTGGAGCAACATCCAGGATTATTTACAGACAAGTATTTGCAGCTGCAATCTATGTGGACTCAAAACTCACCTGCTCTGATTCCTCAACCATAGCGCGTTTCTTAAGTTTCTCGTGATAATTGCGCGATAATAGGCAATTAACGACGCAAACGAGGATTGAATTAATATATAGAATTTAAATATCTCGTATTATAGGAGGTTATAGGTTACCGGCTACCATCATAGAGGCAGAATATAAATGAACTGCGTGTCGGTGTTTAGAGAAGGAAGTGGAGTAGACGCCATATTATTATTTCCCAATTCTTGCAATTTAATAATTAATTAAAAAGAATATCTTTTCATCTAATATAATTTCATTCTGTCTTTATCACTCATTACTTGCGACTAACAGTAAAGACAGGTAAATTCTTTTATTATCAAGCGAGTCTGATAGGCTTGAGGATAAATGAAGAGTGATGACATTATCGACCATTTTGATTGTACTGAGCATTGAGAATAACAAATGTGAGTTGCAGACAGCAGGTAAGATCGAGGTATAAAACGTCATAAAGATGTTTTTTTAATGTCTTATGATAAAATGTTTAAAGTGGCTCAAAATAGTGACGAATAAAAAAATAAGATATAGTTTAAAGAATAGAATATTATTTAAAAGAAATTTCTTAAAAAACCAAAAGGAATTACAAGAATCATTATACAAGAAGCATTATATATATATATAAATATTTCATCAAATTTCTATATCTACAAATTACATTTTAATTATAGAATACTTATAATTAGAATATGTATTAGCTACAACTTCCAAAAATAAAAATAGAATCATATAATCAGCATCTCAAGGAATGCTTCATATGTTTATTATAGTAGCAGACTAGATTAAGGCTAAATTTTTGTTATTAAAAAGTTCATCTTTCATTTAATGTTTCACTTTTAATCTTTCACTTAATCTAGTCAGATTTATTCTTTATAGAGTGTATCATCCAAATTAGAAAAATAAACTGCATCATTCAAATTTGTTTTGAATTATATCGCCATAAGTTCTGTAAATAATTAATAAATGAGGATCATTAAATCAATTTCTTATAATTGATTTAAAAAAACCAAATTACGATCTTATTATATAAATTACCTGAATAATTCTCGTAAATTTTTATGCAAATCTTTTATTTCCTGTAATATATTTACAAATTCTGCTTGCAACTGATTTATCTGAGCTTTAATAGTGATATCGTTAACAGCCATGAAATTGTGATAATGGATTTGGTTATTTTCTAATAGTTCCAACGTATGCATCAATCTATTTAAGACGTCAATGTTCTTCATGGTAAAAGTTTCGAGTTTGAACAAAACGTAAATATTTCGATAAAAACATAAATAAAACATAAAACACTTTGTATCTCAGTCATGTTATATTCAGTATTGATTTCTAACATTTTCTGTTAGAAATCTTGGAATATAATGTAAAAAACGATATACAATTATTTAAGCAAAAAATTCAATAATACCTTATCGTTTAATAAAATATTTCTCTGTCTTCTTAAACTTTCCAGCTTTTTCTTTTCTTCTTTTAACTGTTTCTTCAATAGTTTTTTTACTTGCGTTTCCATATTTTTCTCGTGAGCTTCTCGTAATATCTAGTTCTACCACTATGTGTAAAATAATTTTACTTACTAACGGATTTAGCAGAATGTTTATTTTGCAATAAAAGTTATTTTTCGCTGAGAAAGGACGTATATGTTTTTCAGCAGAGACACGGTGTGACAAACATTGGATGTGACGAGTGATATCCAATAAGAGTTCTGCTCTTTACATCGTTACATTCAAAACAGCAGAGCTTGAAATTGGATATCACTCTTCTCATTGCTCATTCAGTGTGCGAGGATAAATGCCTTTAAAGGGCGTAGAATAAAAGGAAATGGAGCACATCAAAACAATGAACAAAAATATTTCAACTTATCAGAAAATATGTATTAAACATATGTACTATTTACATGCAATAAGAAACTATGTATTATTTTTAAAAGTTATATACTTTTTTTAGTATTGTGTATAAAAAAAGAAGAACAACAAGATCAACAAGTCACAATAATATCAATATGACATTAAAATGAAAAGGATTGGAAAGGATGAAAAGGAAAGGATTGAAAAATGACTTTTAATGATATCATTTTGGAGTCATTTTGACATCATTTTGTTGTTCTGCTCGGGAACTTTACTATTACAGCCTACGATCGATTTTGGCAACCAATCAAAAATTACGGTAATAAATTTTTAACTCTAATTATCCTGCAAACACAATGAGCGTAATAAGCCTTAGGGCTAATTCTACAATGTGCTTTTTGTTGTCTGTTTCTTGCTGTTTGTCTCTTGTCTTATTGATCAAAAAAGGCAAGAGACAAACAGCAAGAAATAGGAAACAAAGAGCACATTGTAGAATTAGCTTAAGTCTTTAGAAATTGAACACTCACAATCGAAGATGTGAGAAAACTAACCAATTGTGATTGGCCAGTTTCCTAATGCTCTGCGCACAATGGAGAAAATATTAGGAATAGGAATAAATATTAACATTTCATCCTATCAGAAACCGTGTATTCCAGTGTAACTGGTATCTAATAAGTTGAAATTTTAATATTTATTCTACTAAGTTCTAAAGCCTATTCTACAATGTGCTCTTTGTTTCTTATTTTTTATTTTTTATCTTTTACTTTTTTCTCCTTTGCAACTGTTTTATCAACAATTATATTTTTTGCTACGTATATTTCTTGTTTCTTTTGAAGTTCATTAACTTTTATCTCGGACGATATAAAACAAAAAACCGAAAATAAGAAGCAAAAAGACAAGATGTAAAAAATAACAAAAGGCAAGAAACAGGAAACAAAAAGCACGTGTAGAATAGGCTTAAGAGCTTAGGGGCTCCGCACAATAAAAGGAATAGGGAACAGAAAACAGAGAATAAGAATTTCAACCTATCAGAAACTATATTCCACAAAACATGATTTCTGAGAATGAAATTCTCATTCTCTGTTATCTTCAAAAGAAACAAGAAATATACGTAGCAAAAAATACAATTACAAACTCCTATTGTGTTTGCGGGATCACAAGAACGTTAGTTAAAATTAGGCATGATTCAAATATTGCGCGCCGCCGTGGGAGACGATCGCGGCGCCGCCTGGCGGGGTCCGGCGAAGTTTGAGCCGCGGCCCCGGCGGAGCGACGTAGCGAGGAAGCGAGCGAGTGAGCGAGCGGAGCGTGCGAATGCTCTGTTGCTGCTGCCGCTGCTGCTGCGTGCCAACTGTGTCTACGTGCAACGCCATTTTCTGTGCCCGCGGGTGAACTAGTCGACTCGCGTTAGTTCATTCGTTTGTTCATTCGAACGATCGGTCGATCGGCAACGTCTCGGGCGACGTTTGCCCCACGTTGATCTCAGCCGCTTCGTCTCTCGGCGAGGACTCTCGCCCGTTCTGCTCGTTTAACTTCTGCCCGTCTGTGTTAACTCGGCTTCTCCGCCCGGGATATGCACGGACACGCGGCGGACAGCCGTGCGACGGATACGATGGTGAGTGGCGAGTCGTGCGTGAGTGTTGTACGCGAGTGAGAGAGACGGAGGCAAAGCGAGGATTAATTGAGAACGACGGTAATGGCAGAGCAGGATCCGGAGTTCCGTGTGTTCCTGTTGCGACGTCTTGTCAGTCGGTCTTTTTTCCCGTGCTTCGTCATTGCGCGGCTGCGATAACGGAATCTCGCGGAGGCCCCAGGCCTATAAAACGAAGTCGCAGCGTCGAGGAAAGACAGCGGTATCGCCACCGCCGTCGCCACCGCCGCCGCTCGATGGGCGGCGGTTTCCTGGGGGGTGGAGGGAGGGAGCGGCACATGGCTGTCGTCGCCGCGTAGAGCATGGGGCGCCGGCTGTCCGTGCAGGGGGTGGCCCTCCCTCGAGAAGTATTATTCTCTCGCTCTGTCTCTCTCTCTCTCTTTTACACGGAACAAGCGTTTCTACCAAAGCCTTGCGTCTTTTTCCCTCTCGTCGTCCAAACGACAAGAGGGAACGCTATTGTCTTTCCGTTGACGACGTTGACAGTGCGATGCCGATTGTCGAATGTCACTGTTATACTCGTAAGAGGGTAATTATTCACCCCTCGCGTCATTCGTGAGATAAGGATCCGGTGCTACCATGAGATTGATTGAGTAATGTGTTAGTTGATTTGTAGCTCCATTTTGGAGATGGTCTTTTAACAAGTTTCTCTTTGCAAGTCATGGAGACTCTTGCTTGAAATCTCTTTTAATTCTTCATCCCTGTTTCAATATAAAAAATAACATCAAATTTATATTTTAATTAATTAATTTGTCATTGTTAGTTTTGTCTTTTTTAAATTAAGAATGTTGAGAGAACAAATTTATGATGATCTGATACGATCGTAAGATTGATTAAGTAATGTATTAGAGTTGATTTATAGCTCCATTTTGGAGGCCTTTTAACAACCCCCGTTTCGTGGAAATGTCTCGACTCTCCTTTGAACTTCTATTTCACTAGAAAATAATAATCCTCGACTACAGCTGTGAAAATCTGCGCATAAATTCTGAAGTTTTATTTGAAGTACGGAATGCAAGTGAACCTCGATTTTACAGCGATTGGAGAAGGATTTAAGGTGCAGATACAACAGAAGGAACAAAGAATAAAGACTAAGATTTCTCTCTCTTAACTTCAGATACTGTGTTCTGATGTGTAGGTTGAAATTATCTGTTCCTTATTCTTTATTCCTTCTATTGTGTCTGTACCCTAAAAGTTTTTTACAATTTAAGCCTTCATAGTATCAATCATACAGATTGTACAATCGTCCAAAAATTTTCACATTAGATCCAAATGACCTTTTATTATACAGTCAAGGGGTTAATTTCGTCATTGTTAGTTTTGTCATTTTATTGTCGAAATTAATATTGTGAATGGAAAACACAGTTTATGTGACGAACGAAGTAGTCGTCATCGATATTCGTTGATTTTGTAATCGACAATCCTGTCGTTTCCGTCACTTCACGTCACTTACGGGAACGACGTTTCGCGCGTGACACCCAGTAGAAAAAACGTGAATCATTAACTGCGAATGAATATTAATCAAAGGATATTATTCACGTAAGGATATTATTATATAATAGTAGTATGTATAGAAAAAAAAATTTACTCGATTAAATGTTTATTTTACTAAATTAATTTAGTTTGCCTCTATCTCTTTTATTAGCGAATGATGCATGTATTTATTTCATCGAAAGAAATAAAA